GTCCCGCAGGTGCGAGACCCCTTTGTGAAGGTGGGAGGGGAATAAACTCTGAACGCTTCTCGAGGCACTGCTGCTCTCTTTTGTTTTTTTTTTGGGGGGGGAGTACCTTTCAGATCTGCAAAAGCAGGAGGAGCGCGGAGAGCTGCTGCAGCCGCTGGTCTTCGTCTTGCTGGTGGTGTGCTCTGTCCTGCTGTACTTCAGGGTGTCTCTGATGGATCCGGGTTTTGTCAAGTCTGAAGAGGAAGCGAAGGTATATCACTTAGCGAATGGAAGAAGCTGCTGGGTCACTCTGCTATACAAGAACAATCCGAAACAGCTTCTGTTGCGCTTGCATGAAGGACGCATCCGCACCCTTTGGAGATGAAGCCGGGCAGGCTGACTCCTGTCCTGTAACAGCGGCAGGGCTCACAGCCTTTAAGCGCGTCTTTTGCACCATGCTCCCGTTGTACTGTGCCGTTTGAGCCGAAGTCCTCTCATGCATCAGAGGCTGTGGTACCTGGTGGAACGCACACCTGACCTGTTTTGTGGTAACCACCCCTCAGTGGTACCAGTGCAAAAAACCCAAATTGAATGGCAAGCCTGGAAGAAAGTGCCCTCTGCAGCTCTGTTTATCGAACTGTATAAATTTGTTGCCCTCTCTGAGGACATGTGCACAAGTTACAGTGAAGTAAATGGAGATGCAGAGCTTCAGTAACTGAGAGGTAGTCTGCTCCGGGTTCACTGCCTTAGCGCCTGTGTAGGACTAAAGCATTGTCAATTTTAGTCCTCTCATTAATGTACATGGCTGTGTTATTCATAAAGTAGCACTGCTTATACTGAAAAGACTTCATTATTGTGTTTGGAAGTGAACTCTAACCTTGTTTATTTTTGTCCCAAAGCACAGTGCTGGGATCGGTGTGGTATCTCATCCACAATTATTTCTGCCTCTGTGCAAACATTTTTTTGATGGTTACCGTAGCCTGTTCTCTCACTGTACCTTAACTGGCTGCAGTGGAATTTCATGCCACAGTATTTATACAGCAGTTTCTGTAGAAATTCTAAGGAATTATTTTAAGTCTCCTAGTGATAGAGATAGCCAGCAGTGTAGAGCTGTTAAGTAAAAGGACCCAGACAGCTCAGTCATGCCAAGGGCAATAACAGCAGCTGTACTTCAGACAGCAGCACACCAAACCTCCTTAGTCACTCCCTGTCTCTCTTCTTGCAGGCAGACAAGAGTGAAGAACAAAGCATGGTGATACCCCAAGTTCCAAGTAATATTAAGATGCGTCGTTGTGGTTACTGCATGGTGAAGGTAGGCATTCGTAACACGCTAGAAGAGGACGAGATGAGTGATGTGCAAGCTTACATTTTTTTGGCACCATCTTTGTTCAGCTGCTGTTACCGGTGTTTTTCTGCTCTCTCATTGCTGCTCACTGCTCAGTGGTTCGAAGGCATGGCAGATCTGATTAATTCTGTCAAAGGGTCACACTGCTGCTGAAAAACTCACAGAAAAAGTAAATAGAACTAGCAAATTGAATTCCAATACAGTCCTGAATTGAAAAGTGATCCAAACGAATTGTGTAGCTAAAGGCACAGTAGTGATGGACACTGGCATGTATGCTAGTTTTGCAAGGCTGAAACAAGTCCCTCCTGGCTCACAGAAACAAGGATCTTCTTTTGCCATGGGAAAATTGTATTCTACGTTCTTATTGCCGTGTCAGTCAGACCTTACAGTATTGTCAAAAAGGTTGTTTTGAAGAGAACTTGATAGAGAGTCAGAAAGGCAGTTGAGCATGACATATAAGAACTCGCGGTAGCTGTGAGCTTCTTTGGAGGCCTAAAACCAACAAAGCATTAGCCTGAACTGTAAAAGATAGCATGAAGGAAAAATTAGAGCAATTAAATTAGCTCTTAAAACAGTTTGCCTAAAGCCTAGAAAGGCCTGTTTTCAGAGTGATCCTTATCAGTTTAATAAAAGTAAGCATTATCCGAGCTTCCATAAATTCCTGAAGAATGTCTACCAGGAGAAGTGAGCTTATTGCAAGAGGAAAAGCTGGCAAAACATATAATACACTTCAGGGAACAAATACTATGAGGCACTACTTTTCTCAGCCAGATCTTTCATCTCTCTTCCTGGTACTTGAGCTGCTTTCCTGTGTGAGCATCTTGCATTCGCACAGAAGTAGAAACGCTTCCGTCCTCTGTGCAGTCCTGCAAAAACCTCCCACCCACCCCCAGCTTCATTCAGTGGCAGTGATCCTAGTTTTTCACTGTTTTCCTGAATAGACTGACCGGCTCTATCTCCCTCCTTTGCACACTGGACTTCCTCTGCATAGGTAGATAATAAAGAAAATGTATAAATACAAGTAGTGTGGGAGAGTCGTTTTATTTGAGTCTGACTCATTTGGGTCTGTACCAGGGGAATCACGATCCCCTTTAGTTGTCTGAGCAATGTTTGTGTTGTGCCGTTATCTCAAAATGGAGTGCTTTTGGGACAGTACTGCTGTGGAGGAAGATGATATTGTATGATGTTCTTTTCTACCAGACAGGGAGTTGAACAGCAGTGGGCTACTGCTAGTGGGTCTTTTTTGCTTGTTTTGCAGCAACCAATGCGAGCCAAGCACTGCCAGCTGTGCCAGCACTGTGTACGGCGTTACGACCATCACTGTCCCTGGATTGAGAACTGTGTAGGAGAGAAGAATCACCCCCTCTTCATAGTCTACTTGAGCGTGCAGCTCATAGTTCTGCTGTGGGGAGCTCACGTCGCTTGGTAAGGCCTGGAGGCGGCACTTTGACCTCGGAGATTACTACAAGTTCTGGTGCTTGTAGAGCCCCACGGAAGGGTTTATGTAGAATGGAGCAGTGACTGGGTTGGCTTTGGATTGGCTTTGTATCTTCACTCTGTTCTGCATTCTGGAGACCAGCTCTTCTGAGCCCCCTAATCTGCCGAGGGACAATGTAGCTGATCTGTAGTTGAGCAGAATCTGATAATCTGGGTTTCATTGTTCAGCTTTGTTTTAAGCTTAAATTAACAGAGTTAACAACAGTACAAAAGCTAACTAATTTTGCTTCAGTTACTGTAATACGATCTTTGTTTACGAATCAAAGTTCTGGAAACTCCAGCAGGGTTTCGGCTCTACCCCTGTTCAGGAGAGGAGTTAGCTGAAGCTGATTGTCTCTTTCTGCTGTCAGGGGAACCAGCATCTTTTTAAACTTCTTAGAATCTAAGTCACTACTGGTGCAGTCTCTGAAGAGTTTATAGTATATTAACTCTCTGTAGTAAATGATTATCAGAAGCTCACTAGTTATGAATCAAACAAAGTTTGCTTGGCTTATGTAACTATTTCTACATCTTTAACCATGAAATTATTTCTCTCTGAATTGAAAGGTCAGGCCTCTACTTTGAACAGTCCTGGGACTGGCTGCAGCACAACGTTCTCCTCCTCATGTCCTTCCTCCTGATAGTCATATTCACCACTGTTGTCCTACTGCTGCTGATCTCACACCTCTATCTGATCTCATGCAACACCACCACCTGGGAATTCATGTCCCACCACCGCATCTCCTACCTGCGACACTCCGAGTCAGAGAATCCCTTTGACCAAGGGGTGATCCTCAATCTCTGGAGATTCTTCTGTTCATGCCGCCTCACTGCATGGGAGAAGATCTATTTTCACAGGAACAGTGAGCCTGTCTAGTCACAGTGGGACTCACCTGGTAGAGTGCCAACACAGTTGCAGGTTGCTGGGTAAAGCTTTGCTAATGCAATTGCTGCTGTTTCCTTGCATGGAGCTTTAGTACATCACAAACCGTGTAACCTGTTCATCCTGCAAATTACATTTCAAGGATAGTCAGGGTTATTTTTTATATACAAATAACACTGTTAAAGGGGAGACACTGGTTCTGGGAAGGCCAGCAGAGCTGATTGCTGGACTGTGCAAAAGTACGTCTCTAAGTTTACTCTTTTGCTAACTGCATCCACATCTCTCCAGAAGAGCTGCAAGAGTAGTGTGAGCATACATGTTTACTTCTCTTCCCCAAAGTTTCCCTCTCCTTTTGCTGCTAGGGAACAGCGGCTATTACAGACAAAACCAGACAGAATCAATACAATTCCTATGGCCTTTCTTCAACATAGTTCTCACTGTGAGAACCGCAGTGCCTTTTGTCAGTAGTGTTGGGCACGTAATGAGTAAGTATTTGGACAGTCAAAAGCAAGTTTCATTTTGACCACATGCCTAAACTTCATGCTTTTCACAAAGATTTGAGGCGTAATAATGTTAATGTGAATGAGAAACAGCTGTAAGGCACCAAATTCAGCTTATAATTAGCCTGTACTTTGTGATACCCTGACCAGCTTCCTGACTTTTTTTTTTTTTTAAGTTGATGGTGCCCTTAGCAGTTCACAGACTATTTTGAATGACATCACCAAATAATGATACCATCCACCTTTCTTTGGACAGAAAAGTAATAATTGCCTACTGAATTATTTCTGCAGATAACTTCATGCTCAGGCCTCTACTGCAGCTTGTGGGGAGAGAACTAGTAGCAGAGGTGAACACTTCATGCCTAGCTCAAGTAACGCTGGCAGTAATACTACTACCTCAACATACTAGCAAAATTTTAATAAAAAAACCACAAAGTCTCAATGCAAGAGGAAAGATTCTAGGTTCTGATTGTTTTATTGAGCTGAGGGGTGCTGACAGCTTTCTAGGATAGCATCAAGCTTGCTTGTTTTCCTTTGTAATAAAAAGGCCAGACTTCAAGTTTCCATGAGGAAATAAAAGGAAGTTTGGGATGACCAATTTTAGCTTTAAAAACAGAAGAGGCTGTGGTGTGAATTTTAGTCCTGTCCCTTTTCTGTTTAAACAAAAAAAAACAGCACCACAATAAAACCTTAGTTAAAATTATTTTGTGCCTTAATAGCCTTGGCTCAGGAATTAACACCAGCTCAAGAGCACATATGGCAAGCTGGTAGAATGCACTCAGGGTTTAAAGTTGATGAGCACTCACGAAAGGACAGTTTAAGCACTAATACAGCACCATAGTCCAAAAGCAGTTTGAAAACAGCAGAAGGATCCCTTTTTTGACCAACTCCAGAGTTTGTAATCTGTGTCCAGTCTGGTTTGTTCAGCGTAGAAAGTCCTACTGGGGGATATCAGAGTGCTTAGAATTGTTTTCATAACACTGCTATACCATCCAAAAAGGATTCTGCAGTTTGTTTGTGTCACTATGGTGCCAGCTAAAGTATGGCTTGTCTGCCACATAGCAATTTCTGGTTCTTCAGGCATCAGTCAAATAAAAGTTTGTCAGTAGGTACTACAGCTCAAAACACACAGTTTTGCTCTGCTTGGTAATTGTTTTTTAAATGCACTGGGATGGTAATTTACAGTCTTTTTACTGTGCTATAAACTATAAATTAAAATGTTAAGTATGCCTTTTTTGGTTCTTTATGCCTCTGTCTTTGAATCCAAGTAGCAGGTTTGAGCTGTGCTAACAATCCACTGTGCTACTTACCACTTTACAGAGGCCTTGACCTTAAGGAAAGTCACAAATCACACTGTAGGGGCCAACAGCAAGCCAACCATTACTATTCAAACAAGGGTGAGCAAAATGGGTATCCAGCTTTAAAAGGGCTATTACACTGCAAGGCAGAGCAGGAGCTTGAAAAGACATTTGTATGCGGGAATTTTCAGAAGCAATTATACTTGGCTCTAAAGATAGGAAATCTAGGTTCAGTGTGAATTATTTCTGTTTTGCACAAACATAGCTCTTACCTCTCTGAATTCTGAAGCACTTAGGCCAGCCTTTATTTAATAATGATGGCTCACTAGCTGCACCCAAACCTTATCTCCAGATGTAGCACAATTGCGTTAGTTCAACTTCTGTCTACCTCTATTGAAGAAAAACTGAAAGAGTAATAGCTGTGCATCCCTACTTTTCATCAGTGTGATGCTTCATCTCTAGATACCCTTCCTTTTTTTTCCCAACAAGCTATCATTAATGAATTTAAGAGAAGAAAATATCAAGTATAATTACAAGATATGCTACCAGGCAAATGGAATCACCTTTAACTTACTGATTTTCCAACATTAACACTGTCATTATTTGGCTATCCCAAAAAAGATACAGGATATACACTTTGATAAAATCTGTGGAGAGAACTTGACTTCAATCATTTGTATGTGACAGCTGATAACACCACGCAATATGTACACAGACAACTTGAGTGAGAAGGAAGGAAGGGAGGAAGAAAATACTACTGTTGACATTTACAGAGAAAATAAAATCCTGCCTGTTGAGCAGAATATGGTTAGCCCTGATCTGAAACATTCAGCTAACACCAAGGAGATGAAAAGCTGAAATTTCATTATAAGAAAAGGTATCTTTATTTTCAAAAAAAAATACCATGTGCAAAACTTTTTTATGTAATTAAAAATAATAGCTGAGATTTAGCATCCTCAAAGAAGTAGAAAGACACTCCTTTTCCTTAAGATATATCACTTGGATCATTATCAAACCCAAACATCATTATCTTGGTTATGTTAAAATCCATTCCTTCTCTGGCATACGTAATTATGAGTGGGAATGGGCATAAAATTATTACACAGAGGGAATGCTGTATATCTTTTCTAGAAAATGGGTGAGAAATTACCATTCCCCCTGCTATTATGCAACTTTAAAAGCTGTGCTACTTACTTAGGCTTTTTGCAAAAAGTAACCTGGGTTGCAGAGATGATTTGATTTCATTAAATCCAGCTTAAATTCCAGATTTCCATCTATACTCAATGGCAGCAGAAGATACATCCAGCCAAATGTTAATTTCTCCTTAAGGATAATTGACATCCAGTATCCCTCCAACAAACAAGGCTGAAATAACCACAGTAGGTTAACTCAGCTTGCAGGGCACTCTCTTCCTGGGGTCATCAGCACTAACAGTCCTACGAATTCTGTTGACTTTTCCACTGCCCATGCCAAGTCCTCTCTCTATACTCTCTCAAGGTGGTAACAATCTGTTCACGTTTCTTATAGCACAGGAATCAAACATCTAAAAGGTGTCTGGAGACAAAGTCAAAGTCCTTGAAGACAGTCTGCTCCTTACGGGTTAGGAGAGCAACCTCCTCTGGAGGAGTAAGGATTGGCTTTTGTGATGTAAACTCTTCATCAAAGTTGCTAATGTCAGTCGGATCTCTTAAAGTAGGCACAAAAGGGGGCTTCAGAGTCCTGGCAAACAAGGCATCCCAATCAATTTCCTGTAAGACAAGCAAGCGAACAGGCCAGATTGACATTAAGATTATGTATGAAATGTGAAAGCAGAAGGAAGGATTGCAGCCTCACTTCCAGATAATTTGACACATATCTTTCTTATACTAATTTAAAAAAAAAAAAAAAAAAAAAAATGGAAAAAGGCCCAAAACAAACTGCATAGTGAGTGGAAACCAGGTAGTAGAGATTCCAGGTAGTACAGAGATTCCATACAGCCTAAGGCTGTTCTTCAGAACACCAAGAAACAAAGTTACAGCTCAAACTAAATTGAGGAGGTACAAAACTACAGCGCAGCTGTGGCCAGGTGTATGTGTGGACAATTTCAGCAATTTCTGCTGACATCCAAGTTCTTTTCTTACTCCAGTGCAAAGCCAGCCAGGGGCTATAAGGCTAATAACGTCTGACAGACAGGTAATGACAAGGAGAAGTGGTAACACCTTTGCCTAGAACGGACGTATACCCTTGACCCAAAGCAAATGTGTCTTTAACCTCAGTTTCTCTAGCATTCACGTATATCCTGCAAATGCTGGTGCCATGAAATTGACTGGCAACCACTGTCATCGCTAGACAGCATCGGTGACTGCTGCAGTTTGATTTTAGAAGGGGTATTTGTTGATGGCTCACCAGATAGGTATATTTGTACACAGAAGCAGCACAATCAGAAATAACAAACTGGCTCTGGAAGCTCACAGATCCCAAAAAACACACCTGGGGGAGTTTCAAATATGAACTGAAACACATATTCCTGAATACACAATGAGGTGCAATGGAAGCTACCACTTTTAGCTCACTGATAACTAATGGAAATATGCCTCAATACCAACGGAAAGCAAATCGCTCTCAGCTCAAACACAAGAGATGAGGAGGAGGGATAACGTGAGTTCCTACCTTAAAAAAGGCCTGGATTTTAATCTCTTCTGCATCTTTTTCCCCTGCTCCCAGTCTACGCTCTGGACACTTCCGAAGAAGCTAAAGGAAATATCAGTTCAAAATTAAACAATTGAACAAGGATGGACAGAAATAATGTTCCAGAGAGAAAAACAAAAGGAAGGAGATGGACTGACCCCTCAGTATCTTCTCATCCTCACTTTGCAGCAAGGTCATAATCTGCTAGCAGTAGCTCAGACCTAGTTCCTTGTAAAGAATTTGCCAACATCAGTAAGATACCTGCTGTAGACCACATGAAGCATCTCATCTTAACTGCACACCTGTGACTACTGAGTCACACTCAAAAACTGAATCAAGCCATCTCCACTGAATGACTCTGACACTCCTGCCCTTGAATCAACACTTCTCCATTTCAGACTTAGCAGCAACAGACCTCGGTAAGAAGCCTGCTTCAACATCCTTACACAGAAGAATAGCATTTATGTAAAGAGAAGGAAAGGAAAAATATGTAAATTTTAAATGTTTCCTTAGTCTGTGTAGGCAGCTCCAGATTTCACACACAACTGCTACCCTGTCCTAATCGAGTCCCTGTGGATCCACTTACACAGTAAATGCAGATTCCTCAGGCTCCCAGAGACCCGTCAAGCCCATTACCTTACGGATTATGGAAAGTGCCTCAGATGAAAGGAATCGTGGATACCGGACTTCATCGTTGACAATACTGTCAAAGACTTCTTCCTCATCATCTCCAGGGAAAGGTGACTGCAATTGTGACATTTTACTATTTAATCCACACAGCACCCATCCCTCACTAATAAACAGGGAGAAGAGTAGCAAGGAGCTGTATGGATTAATTAGTGTTTGGCAAACACTATGAATGAGAAAAATGCAAATTAAGTACTAATAAATAGTTGGCTACATTCAGCAAAGCTTTATCACAGGTGGTTGGTACTACTGTCCCCAAGACTGCTTAGTGAGAATCTCTTAGCGAAAGGTGGCCTTACCTCACCAACAAGCATCTCATAAATGAGTACACCCAATCCCCACCAGTCCACTGCCCGAGTGTACGAGATGTCTGTCAGGACTTCTGGAGCCAGAAATTCAGGAGTGCCACAGAAGGTGTTTGTGCGGTCTCCAAAACCTATTCCTGGAGGAAAAGAATACTTTTGTAAAACCCAGCACACGTCACTGAATGGATCACACGCAGTCCCACCTTCTGAAAGCCATAGATTATCACTTGATAATCGAATGTTGTTAACTTCACAAGGGTTCTCATCAACGCTTGTAAATGCCAATAAGGAAGTATAAAACCCGAGGCCTCTAAAGACTCCAAATAAGAAATATACAGACAATACTTAAATAAACAGCAAAACCGTGGAAACTTCCTGCAGATTCCACTGCTCATTTACTCAAGTATATATTTTGCAGTATCCTATATTCTGTCTCCTTTGAGGAAACTAGCACATTGTAAACTCCTTCATAAGTTTCCTTAAGATTAACGGACAAAATACTCTTTCCAAGTTCATCAGGCCAGACAGGTGAGGTTTTTTGTTGTTTGGTTTGTGTGTGGGGGGCAGTATTTTGGTCTTGGTGGGGTTTGTTTTATTTTTAAGATGGGGATGAATACAAGTTACACAGAGCCACCTCAGTGTCTGTATTTGTGAACGCATTACTAAAGCCCAGATCCTAAACCGGTTCTGGTGGTTCAATTTTGGCTTCATCACTCACCTTCCTTACACAATCCAAAATCTGCAATCTTCACAAATCCTTCAGCATCTAAAAGCAGATTATCCAATTTCAGGTCCCTGCAGGCAAAGGAGAGGAAAGAAAATGGTGGATGAAGTCTGAGGACTGCCATCCAACATCTTTTATTACAAGAAGCAGAAACTAGATGTTTATAAAGAGAATAAAATCTCAATTGAGTAAAGTCTACATTTGGTTTAAATAATGTATTATTTAGAAGATTCCCCTAAATCTATTGATATTTTCCTCTTAATGAAAGGCTCACAAAGCAGCTTAGAGCTGGGTGGGTCTTACTCATCTGGAAAAGAGCATTCCACAACAGCATGATGAATTACTTGACTATCACAGTAAAAAGAAAGCAGTGACTTACAGGTGCGCCCCAGAACATATTGACATGTCACAGAGGATTAATCACCTGCAACATGTCAGATGAATAGCTTCTAGATGATTTTCCTTACTGTAAGCACAATGAACATGCTGATAGCAACAGGCGATCGGGAAAATAAAGACAGACAGAAAGATCAGAAACCCCAGCAAGACAATGAGCTCCAGACACATAGCTAAAGGAAAAATAAAACTTTCAAGTTGCTGAACTGGATTATACTTGATTCTTTGCTGCATTACCTATAAACAATTTTCTTCTCATGCAAGAACTGGAGCCCCAAGACTACGCAGGCTGTATAAAACCTATAAGAGAGAAACAGTTATCAGGAAATATACATGAGAATCAAGTTAAAAATTTATAGTGCCTGGAAACTAGACTAATTCTAACTCACTGTGCCATCGGCTCTGGAAAGACATCTTCATGTATGCGCATCATAAGATCACCACCTGGAGTATATTCCATCACAAAACAAGCATGATGAGGTGTCTGGAAACATGCAAACATGTTCACAAGGAATGGATGATCAGAAGAATTGACCACTTCAAATATTCGCTTCTCACAGTTCAAGCTGCCAGGATTCAAAGAACGAAAACGTCAATGTTAAAACTTGGCAGAAAAGCCTGTTGTGAAAAAAACAGGATGAAGAAGAAAATCTTTACATCCTAAGTGTCATGGTTTAACCCAGCAGCCAGCAACTAGGACTAGACAGCCGCTTGCTCACCTCTTCCCTTTGCCCCCAGTGGGATGCGGAAGAGAATGGACAAAAGGGGAAAATTGTGGGTTGAGATAAAGACAGTTTAAGAAGACAACGGAAATACTACTACTGCTACCACCACCACCAATAAATATCCAAACCAAACAATACATAATACAATTTTTGCCTCATTGCCCGACAACCAGTTGTGTACCCAGACCCTGAGCAGTGATCACGGAACACGGAACTTGCAGATTTTGCGGAACTCACAAAAAAAGGCTAAACTCATGGAACAGTTCGAACTCCCGGAAAAAAAGGAAAAAAAAAAAAAGCATTATATTTTATCCTGCCCCCCAGCCAACCCCCATTTATAAACTGAGCATGACGTCTGTGGTATAGAATATTTCCATTGCCCAGCTTGGGCTATCTCCCTGGCTGTGCTCCCTCCCAGCTCCTGCACACCTGCTCGTTAGCTGAACATGGGAGACTGGAAAAAGTCCTTGATTTCCCAGCAACAACTGCAAACATCAGTGTTATCAACATTCTTCCTGTATTAAATGCAAAACACAGCTGCTACTGCGAGGAAAATTCCCAGCCGAAACCAGGACACTATGAGAAATAAAAAGTGAGCGCTAATACAATATTTATCTTACATATTTCTAAACCCTAAGTTTTAGAGTGTTCTTCAGGTGTCATTCCACCAGAAGCTAGAAAGCAGCAATGTTACAAGTTTCCTTATTCCTGATTTTAGTTACCCAAGCCTTAAGGTCACATTTAACCTTAACAGTACTGTGACCAGTACACATCATACCTACTAACATTTGATTGCACGTGTGTTAATGTAGCCTCTGGCAGTAGTACCATCTCTAAACAAAGCTCACCTATCAATTTCATCTCTCCTAATAATATCTTTTTTTTTCAAGGCTTTGATAGCATACAGCTTCCCAGTTGGCTTGTACTGGGCCAGCAGTACCTGAAAGACAACAGAAAAGCAGTGTTTCAAATAAATCCATTATTTCCTTATTGGATTACTCTGACTCCCATTGCCACAAACTATTTCCATCCACTCCAGACAGTCACTCTCAAAACCAAGCTCAAGTAACTCCAGAAACGAAGCACTTTTTTCTGCTCCTTGGGCTGCAGTAGTCCAGAAGGATGTCAGTGTAAGTTATGTTCTTTTCACAAACAGTAGTATCACAGCTGGCTGAGTGCTTTATGAGCACCTCAGAGCTCTCACAGCAAGCAACTATGAACGCAGTTTTTGGGAACAGAGCTATTCCACCAGCGATCACAATGATACTGAAAGGAATGGTAATGATGTGCTTTATGAAATGATGTAGCACTCCCTGGATGGCTCTCTCCTGGCTTTGAAGCCACAAATCTTCACAAGTTTTGACTGTTAACAACAGTTATCAGCTGCTTGTGTGGTTGGGCTGGGTTTGTTTTGTATACCTACACTGCAACAAATCTCTTCTGTACTGCAATGGTTCTGTTGAGACTCTGAGGCAGAGGCCCATCTTCACAACCACAGCCCTACTGCCCTGCTCCACAAAGCACGCACTTCTACACTACCTTCCCAAAGTGGCCACGCCCCAACATAGCGATGCAGTGAAAATCCTCAAGCTGAACTGTCCTTATCCTGCAGACAAACAAAGAAGAATTGCTGAGACAATACCCAAAAGATGTATAAACAGATAACAAAGGAGTGTGTATTCATGTTAGGGGAAGAAGCTCTGTATAGCAAAAGGGAAAGTGAACAGCTGTGTCAACCACTCCTCACCTAGGCTGAAATCCTGAAAAGTCAGGCTTGCTGCTGCTGTTTTGCCACTGATGAAAGGAGCAGGCAACCGTAAGGTGAGGAAACTACTCCTACTGGCAGCAGTCTGATTTCCATCTATACTGGTAACAGGAGCAACAATTCTGACTCTCCAAGGCTTGCTCTCTATGTTACCTCCCATAACAGGATTAGCTCCCCCTCACCCCCATCCTTGGGATAGTAAAATTCAATTTCACCCATGCTCCTTTCAGCAGGCTCAACAGCAATTGTGTTTTTCAGACATGAAGGTGCATATCAAGGGCTAGTAGGACAAGGGCATACGGAGAAGTTCTCAAACAGGAATTGGACATGAAATATGGTGAGGCAACAGACATAAGATGTTGCTGGAAAATAAGTAGCTGAATAAAGAAATGCTATATAACGTTATGTCAGCTACAAGGTGTTACCAAGGAAACTAAGGCTGAAGAATTGCTTGGGAAGAATTAAAAAAAAAACAACCAACCAAACTAAAACAACCCACACCCTAAAAGCTTTAGTCCAGGATTATCTTTAAAAGACAGCAGACACTCGATACTTCTCCACTGAATGACATGAAGGGCTAAGTATCTTCTCACGAAGGACTCAACTCCCTCCTCAGCCTTCTCAGAGAGAAGGCAGGTAGGTGCCTGACTGCATCCTGACTATAGGGGTTTGAAGATGGGACCCCTCAGCAGTGATGATCAAGTTACGAACATAATGGCCTGAACTGTAAGATCAACTTAGACAGATATTGCTATTTGTGCTTTTTTGGTCTGTATTTCTTCAACAATTTTAATTTTTTTTTACTTGTCCTGTTCTTGGTATATTTACTACTGTGTATCCTTGCTACATCCAAATTGTGTATATATAACTGCCACAGAGTATAAACAACTTAGTGTTTTATGCGTCCCTATGTAATGAAAGGCAATGGAAGCACCTGAAGACAGTTGAGCAACTTTACCTTCTACTAAAGTAATCTATTACACTGTAGTGTACACTCTATCAATAGGCTAAGTATTGGGGTTAACAAGCAGATAAGGCACAGCAGACATCTGGACAAGTTCATAGCATAATTTTCATGGTATCGTCTACACTCAGCACTAAGAGTCTGCTGCTGAGAAACCAAAGCATAACTTGAGCAGAATTTTAGACTGCACGCTCAAAAATTTCAGCCCAGTGCCTCTTTAAGCTGTGACCCAAGACAGCCCATGATGTCCACAGTTACCTTGGAGATGCCTGGATTGGAAATTCTGTTAGAACAGAGTTGCAAGACTTCTCCTCAATATGCAGCCTCTTCAGACACTAGGAACAAAAAGAAAATTACAGTGTGTCATCCTCTGGAATCACCAAGTCAGACCTGAATGCCCACATCCAAATTTTCTCCTCTGTCATGATCCAGCATAACTGCAGACAAGTTCTTGCAGTTGGTCATTGCCTCTGCTTGGAGGGAAGCAGCATGAAAACAGATTGTCTATCGTCATGCAAAACTATTCCCACGTACAATATTATCTTGATAGGGTCAAACCCCTTAAAATACACGTTTTTAAAAGCCTAGGATAAAACATTTCCTTTCTAGAAAAAAGACATGTCATGTCCCAAAAAGAGTCACAATGATCAGATAATGCAGTTTCCTCTATCACCAAAGCCAAATGAGAAAGGGCAAGATGTGGCAGAACACAGGTCATTAACCATTTTACTACTCAAAACAATGTTCCTGCTCCTTCCTGTCAGAAAAGTAGAGCTCTTCTTGGTTTTGCCCAGTTTCTTTAATGACAAAGAACTTCATCTGGTCCTAAAAGCCTGCCGACCCTACTTCCCTGCTTTCTCTGTGCAGTCATCTGTTCTGCACTCCTGCTCTGAACTCCCAATGCTGACCTACCTCCCATTTTGCTTCTCCAAGAAAAGCAACTTATAATTTAAAAAAAAGAAGGAAAAAAAAAAAAAGAAAGGAAAAAATAAAAGAAGGAAAAAAGAGGTACAACACTTTTGTGAAGACTCTATGCCAAAATAGCTCACTGCATTCTGAATCCCTGGACATCAGCCAGCTAATGAGGCACAGCCTGCTTAAAGCATAGTTAATTTCTCCAGTCATAAACAATTAAGAAGAACCAGGCCTTGAAAGAATACCAACCAACAAAGAAAAGTCCCCCTCTTAGCTCAGATGATTACCGGAGAATCTGCAGGAGATGGTGTTGATTCTTTGGAGCTGGTCATCAGATAAAGGCGTGGAGGCTTGGGTGGTGCTTCATCAGCAAATGTAAGCTTAGCCACAGGGAAGTCACTGCATTTGTGAGACAAAATTGAAGGAGATTTCCTTAGGGCAGAACATTGTACACACACACACACCTTTGTATCACCTTTGCTATATAAGCAAAGTTTCGTTCAGTCCAATATAGCGGACAGCAGGACTCCGTGATTCACACCACCAGTCTGTGAAGTATCAACAAGACATACGCTCTCCTAAACGAATGAAAAGCAAATGAGCTATTAAGTTGGTGATGGTTAGACTCACATTCCAACACTAGCTCTCTGATGCTATAAAATGAATGAAACACAGGTGTGTAGAAATAAGTCACTATGATGAAGAATTTAAAGGAAGTCTTGATCATAATAGCAACACGGTAGTTGACCTGATGTTTTTTTTCTTTTCCAGGTCTTGTGAATCAGTGGGAATAGTCTCTTTTAGAGAATTATTAATTCCAACAATTTAAAAAAAATGTTATTTACAGAATTTTCTTCTACAACATATTTAAAAGCTTAGTTACGTAATGCTAATTATTGGGGTACATGTACCCTCATGAAAGAAGAGTGCATTTTCACCACAACCATCATATTGTGACCTTGCATAGAGTTCAGTTACTATACTAGTGAAGACATTTAATGAATGGAATTGTCTTTCCCTCAAGTGCAGAACCAGTACATCTTTCTGTGTATATAACTTCTGAAAATCTGCTTTTGTGTTGTTTTTTTTTTCTGTATCACAGCATTTACTTATTACCACTTTTATGCCCACGATTCTTACTGCATAGGAAAACTGCTGAAGTTCCCCTGGCTCTGGAACAGACTTCTTGTTAGGATAGGAATTCTGGAAATTGTTCCAACTGCTAACAATAAATCACAGCTAGCCACAGTGTATTGAACACCCCACTAAAACCACACCGTTTCAGGCAGCAATTGCCTTTTCTTAAAATCCTGAATCAAGTTCCACAGATATAATGTTCATATCAATATCTTCCTCCATCTTAGTAAGGTGCAACAGAACTTCAGGACCCATCCTATACCCATTCCAGAGTGTCATCCAGCAACGCTCAGAACATGACTTACCCACTCAGGTTGGACATTGAATCAACATGACTTTGTCGGGGAACTGGAGAGAAGTCTGTGTGAATGGGATCATGAAGTGGGGGACTCAAAGTGCTCAAAGAACTACACGGAGGAAGGAAACTCATCATTAGGCGACCCCAAGCAGCAACATTTATGTTCATTTGAGGAGCTCGGAGAAATTCCTTGCCTGGAGGAGTCAGAGTCAAAACACCAGTGAGATTACAACGCACAAATTACAACTCATCTACTGTTAAATCATTATTTTCAGCCAAACATGTGGGTTACTCAAAAAGGTAGCCCACCCTAGGCAGAATGGGATTTTTTTCAGGGCAGAAAATTTAATAATGGTGATGATGAAACAGATCTACTATTTCACCTACATTCAGCTCCATATAATATCATAAAAATACTCAAGTAGAAATTGCATAAAACCTGAAAAATTAATTTTATTCTAAGTCAGGTTTGCTTCTATTTCAACACTGCATTTTAATCACACAGCCTGTTAATAGAAAGTATCTGAAAATGACTTTTAAAGAGTAAAACATTTGGGATGTCTTCATTATTTTTACTACTTCCTGAAAAACGTAAATACAAAATCTCATCTATCCTCACTGCCAGAAGTCCTCAGTATGTAAAGTCTTACCTTACTCAGCTTCACAAGAAAGAATTTGCCAACAAAGAAAAAAGTACGCAAGTTATTCCAGTCCCTAAAACTATTAATCTGAGATGCCAGCTCTAAAGACTTGACAATCAGTAGCCTGTTCATGCTACAGTCTTCTATAATTCAGAGTTTTCCAGAAAACCTTCCAATATCTGTGCATCAGTAAAACCACTGCTGGTTAAGCTAGTACAGCTTGAGTCCTGGATGTTGCTAGGAAGTCTGTTAAATAACTAGTAATTATATCTTCCTAACAATGTTAATTGTGAATAGAAACACTGCAATGATATCACGTTACACACCATGCTGCAGCCAGGCTGACTGGACTTTTTGTGACTGAACAAACTTTCACACTCTAAATAAAGCCCACCTACTTACACACCGTAATTAGCAAGCATTTTAATGTCTCACAAATTTAATGGGATAGGAGTGGATGCCAGCCTGCTTGTGCAAACCCCTGCCCTCACCTACACACCCTAAACAGGAAGCAGTCAGTTCTCCAGCAGCTTACCTTTCTGTTTGGGGAAAATGCGTTTCTGTCGCTGCAGTTTTGGCTTTCTCTCAATGACAGGATTACAGAACATAACCTGTCAGAGAAGCAAAAGGGATTTGTCAGGATACTTCACTTACACTATGAACACAAACTTCCACACGCACCTGCTCTCTGATCAAATTATCCATTCACATCTGTTTGCTAAGTTAGGAGTCACTCTCACAGACAGACTCCAGACTGCGTTATTCTAGCTTCACCCTCTAAACAACTGTTACTTCAACTGTGGTTTTAGATGCTGGAATTTTCTGCTACCTGAAATGCAGAAAAATCCCCAAATTATGACCAATTCATATCGCAAACAAAATCAAATTTATAAAACCATACATAAAGAACATAGCCTTTTGTAGGGTAAAGAAAAAAATAGTAGTCCACAGCATAGAAGTAAAACAAACAAACAAAACCAATGCCACAAAAAAAACACCCAACCAAAAAACAACCCCAAACCCTCCCCAACAAAGCAAAACCACAGAAAAACAAGAAGCCAGGGAGAGGATTTTGGTACGTGAGGTCAAAATCCCACTTTTGGAAAGATAACCACAGGAACTTTCATCACAACACAGAGGAGAAAGTGCTGAGGCTTTTAAGGGATTATCTGGATGATCTCTTCATTGATGGTACTTCAAACTATTATTAGCCTCAGAAAGATGATAAAATAAGCATACCCAGAGGGAATTTGGATCGCTGATTCCACAGTCTCTGTGATTCAGTTCTGACCATTAAGCCATATGTTTAATTAAAGTGTCATGATGATTCATAATGAAAGCAAATAAAAACCAACGGATTTCACAGCACACACATATAATTACAGTGGAGCAGCTGAAGAGTCACTCCAGTCTATGGCATGTGTACATTTATTATATCATGTTCTTCTTTATTCTTATATGTGATATTGATGCAAAAGGATTTCAGGTGTCATTCTACCCTTCTAAATTATTGCTCCTTCCATTCCTTGTATCCTGGGTTGAACAACTGCGTTCAGGGAAGGCACCCTAAACAGAGACAGTTCTCTGAAAAAGAAACAAAGCTGACATTTATACCTCTGCAAAAAGCATTCCTTGTGGTTCGAGCGAGAGGCACATCCCATGACGTTCATTATCAAGGAAATCATCCAAACGTAAAAACTTCACTGCACATAGTTCTCTCCAGTCTCTCCAATAAATTGCAATTTCTAGCTCACGAGACTAGTGAGATGGGCGAGTGGTGAAGGAGGAAAAAAAAAAGCAGAAGAGTTACATACTGCCCTGTGCTCTGGAAATGCCACACACACACTGTTGTAAAAAAATCAGTGAACTAAACAATATGCATAAGACACTTCTTTAATCCTTCTGTTCCCTGCTTTCTCTGATGCTTTCAGATCTTCTTAGCTACACACCCTCTTGGAGATGGCTGTCTTGGCTCCCCATTTCAGAAATCTCTGAGCGCGCCACTTTGCTGGTAAGATGAAATAAAACTGCTCAGATAAGGAGAGAGGGACAACAGATGCTGTTCAGGCTGAATCTCTGCCAGAGATGCACTGCCTTCAGGGGAAGACTAAGATAAGTGGCACATAAAAGGACACGGAGACAGCAGCAATACAGAGCTGAATGAAGTGCAATGGCAGCTAAGCAGATCAGGTAAGATGAAATGGAAAACCAAATACAACACAGGGAATCTGGGGCACACTTACCCGGTCCAGCTCAATGACAAAACTCTGGTCCCATGCCTGGTTATTAACTGGTCCCCAATTTGTTTGGCCAACCACTTTATTGTCCACTTTGAGCACAGCAAGGACCTCATCTGGACAAAGGAGAGAACAAGGATTATTATCTTTTACCAAAGAGTATCTCTCATACTAGAGATGAATATCCCAGTCAAATGTAATTTCCAAGAGAACAGTAGGAAGACCAGGCATAATGTGATTAATTCTCTCTCTTAGTTTTGCAGAAACCAGATTTCTTCTAATTACACTCATACCACGCTAACCCAATACCCTGATGAGAAGCCCCCATGCTCCCATATGCCACTCACAGTTCAACAGGGAACCCCATACTCACTACATGGCTCTTCATTCCGCAGGTATTTTCCTGCAACATTACGGCCATGGATACCCAGGCCAACTCGTGTTCGGGTAAGGGACCTCAAATCACTTGGGCTGCCACAGATGGGAGAAGAACTAGTCATTCGGGAACGTCCTGGAACGTTTTCCAATAGATCCTGACACCCCATCAGTCTCACTTCCAACGTTCCTGAGGAATTTTAGGAGAGTAAAGAATATTATTATGTAAAAGATAAAGTGATTCCAGTTAGCCTGTTCTCACAGAGGTCCAGGAGTTTCTCAGATTCATTATTTCTTGGTTAATAGTTTAAACCTACCCCCAACTAATAGACTGAAAGTCCAGAAAGCTCTGGCTGGCCTAGAAGAAATAAGTCCAGTTCCTAGAAAATCAAATGTCCATATAACAAGAGGCAACACAACAATGAGAAGAAATGCAACTCTGTTTTCCCTCTGCCCTCCTCACAACGACATGCCATGCAGGATTTCTATACCTGTAAGGGCTGTAGGTTTGATGACTGAAGTGGGTTGGATGCTGCCATGCTGAGCTCCCAGGGAGGAAGTATTTACGAGTTCCTGCTTGATGAGTGCTCTTTTTGGGTGATCAGGAGAAAGCTCACTAAGCTGATGTTCCAAGGACAAGCGCAGCAGGTCAATCTTCTGAGAGGACTCTTGCAAACGACCCTGAGCCTAGCAATATGAAGTAGAACAGAAAGCAGGTAGAAATTTTCAATGTAGAGCCCCAGTCCAGGTACAATTAATCCTTTATGAACTACTACAGTAAGCTTCAAAAAAGACCAGATAACATCTTACTAGTGAAGGAACAAGATGAAGTATTTTCCCATAGATCCTGACTACCCCATCAGTGTCACTTGTGATGTTCCTGAGAAATTTCACCAAAGCAAGGAATGTTATCCCCAGAAGGGAAAGTGCTCCCAAACAGTCTGCCCTCACAGAGAGACAGGAACTTCACAGATTAGTCACTCTTGGTTAACTCTGCTCATTCATGCTAAATCACTGATGCTGAGGCATGAAACCAGTCTCTCAAGAAGGCCTGAATAAGTGCTTACCTCCGCCAAAAACTTGCGATCCTGTACTCGACTCCCTCCTAGGATCTTCAGCACGTTTTTTGCCCCCTCAGCTACAGCAGCTTCAATGCGCAGGTGATGTCTCAGCTCCTCAATACGCAGCTCCAAAGCATTGATGCTGGTCCCCATCCTCACTGGCCATTTGGGAGATAAAATATGGCAAGGATGAAAATTGACTGAATATTCTGGATTTGGGGGCTTTGGCTGCATCTGTTCAGGGCTGTATCAGTTATTTAAAACACCTTACCTGCTGGATCCACTGTATCTTCCATCTCTCCTGCCGACTGAGACACTTTCACAATGTGCATGCGGATTATTTCAATCTTTGTCTTGCTGTCCTGAAGCATCTGCTGAGCTGTAGCCAGCAGCTTTCGCTCCTGCCAAAAAGAAAGCATATGCAGAGAGAGAACCATGCTCATTAAAAATAGATTACAATGATGTGTTCACATATGAGGATGAGGTGGTACCTGCAAGAAGTGTCACAAATGATTCTGGAATAGCATTGTAAGCAGTTATGTAAAGGAGACACTGCTGAGGATCAAGGACTTTGAGATCACTATCTCCATTTTTAGAGGGAAGGAACAGGTCAAGAATATGTCTAGTTAACACCAAACTTTGCAGTCATGGAGACTTGTGGTTCACAGGTTAACTGTGCTTACAGAGTTTTGGAAGCAGAGGTTTTGAACAAACTAAAACATCACAATCATCTACAGGCTGGTCCTACTGAATTAAGCTTCATAATAAGCTTGGATTTTAATTATCCTTTGATTTTTAAATACGATTATGCCAAACACAAAAAGTGGGATCAATATGAACCTAGTAAACCTCTGAAAATTTTTCTCACGTAAAGAGATACCACATGCTGTGCTCTGTCCTAAACAACCTAGTGATATCAAAACATCACACCAACTCAGTGTAAAATACCAATGCTTTTTTAACTTTCATTCCTCAAGTCAGTGACTGAATGTACCTCTTAAATCACCCTCACTACCTTCCCAGGCTTGCAACAGTTTTTCTAGAGATGGCACTCCTATCTTGCCACTTGCTATGAGATACTTTTCTCTGCCTCTAATCTAGAGTCACTATGAGCATTGAGGTTAGAGGCATTAAGACCTCCATGTTGGCATTCAGTCAGCCAAATCAAGCGTGTGGACCAAAGAAGTAATGTAGAGTCTGTAGCTGATAGGAAGATGCAGGTCTTTCCAAAGGGCCATTGATCTGTTTGAGAATGTTAGCACAAGCTACTCTCTAGGTACTTAGCACTTTCCATGGAGACTACAGAAGGATTTACATGGCTAAGCTAAAACAACATGATTCCCAACTCTATCATTAATACTGCTAAGCAACATTCAAGAGCAGAAGTACAATCCGCATCTGCCATGTAAGAACTGCCAAAAAAATCAAAACTGCCAGACTATGCCCATCTGTCCAGTCTAATAACTCCCCTCTAACAGTGATCACCACCAGACGCTTTGGAAAAAGGCATAGGCAGCCACACCATGGACCAAAGGGCAATAAACTACACTTTCAGGAAAGTCTTTTCCTAACATCCAGGAATTACACATTGGCTTAAGCGCCTGTCTAATGAAATATGCACTGTCCAATTCCGTGCTGATTTCTGCTAAATTCCTGAAGTCTGTAACCTGCAAGTCTAATGCATAATTGGAGTATTGGTTGACTTGTGCAGTAACATGACATGCTGTCACTATGTAGAGCACCGAAATGTAGAGCTAGGATTCAGTCAAGCAAGCTTCACAAATGAATTTCTTTCACAGATCCAGAAATCCATGTTCCCAAATGATTGTTTATTCCTGCTTACCTTGGATGTTGAATACATTTGGATCATGTTCTCAGCTCCTTGCCTCACTTTCATTTCAACATGCAACTGCTTTTTCAGAGCTTCAACCTTCCTTGCCATGGGGTCTGGGTTTCTTTCCCAGAGACACGGATCTGGAGATACAGATCCATCTGTACAAACAATATAATCAATACCATTAGTCATCTTGTCATGTGTCATTTCACTGGCTTACAGATGGATGAGTCTATAAAAGAAGGTTAGGCTATAAAAAAAGGTACAAAAAGGTCTCGTCTACAAGAGTGACAGCAAAACACTGTTTCAAATGAAGCTCAAGCTCATATCTGTAAATATTTCTTTGTTTCTTAAAGAGCCTGTCCTAACAAACACCCTTCCAATTTTATACTCATTCATCCTGTAAGACACTTGGATGTTCAACTGCCTGGAAATTCTATTGAAATCCCTTCAATTCCACCTACAGCCTGCTCCTGAATATTGTCCACGCCCAGCACTCTCAGCTGCTCTTCTCCCTACACTCATCTCTCTTGTTGCCTCCTTTATGGCCCCATTCTCAAGTTTTCACTGCACAGATCATTTCATCAGCTAGATACAAAGAGAAGAAACTCCCACTACTTGTGAACCCTCGACAGAAAAATACATCAATTCAATATATATAAATACTGAAGCACTATAACACAATTTTCCTGCCAATCATGACCCAAGACTTACCTGTCTTACTCTCCTCTTTGTCTGTTATTACAATCCTTGCATTAAGCTCCTGAAGTTCCCAATGCAGTTGCTCCAGTTTTCGGTTGGAAGATTTAAGCACATGCTCAATATGAACAAGATTCTTTCTGTCTGTTGTTGCTTTGCGCAGGTTTTCTGCTCCCTCTTTAATCTTCAGTTCTTTCTGTATCGCGCGGCGAAGTAGTTCCTTCTCACCCTCCAGTTTTTGCTGGAAGCTTGGATCCATTAAGTTCACACCATTGCCCAGCTGCAAGAGACAGCTACCCTGCAATCAAGCAGCATTGGGGAAGAGGATTTCAGAGATAACACAGTTCAACAGTTTTTATGATATAGCAATATCCTCATAGGATTCCACTCCTTCATTTAACTTAGAAACTGGCTCACACAAATTCTGAAGCCAACCTTTTCATCAAATTTTCAAGAAGACCAGGCCAGCATTTAAATCGCAGAGGACGGAACACAACTTTGATCTTAACGTGCCTTAATTTGGTTTTAAACCATAATGGAGAAAAACCTTCAGCTTACTTGTCTCCTTGTTGTTTAATAACTACACACATCTTTGTTCTCCAAGTATCAAAGTCCAGCCAAATTTGCCCTTGTTCTAATCAACATAACTTTTATTGGTATGATGTAGTATATACAGATTTTCATCTGAATATGTCTTGATGCTGACTATTCAGAGACATATCTCAACCTGTTAGACCTTTTTAGGAATGTCACAAGCATGCATTAACTCTCAGCTGTTACCCCTGAAGAATAAAAATGTAAACCCTACAGCTGTTTCTACAAATGAGCAAGTAAAAGAGTAAGCTTAACTTTGTGCTGTATCTGAAAAGGGAACCGGACTGTTGTCTCAGTCTCTATTCTGCTTGTGATTTACAGGCAGTAAGGCCATTTGCAAACATTGCTTATTTTGACTTGCATTTGTAGCATGCAAGCTTGTTCTGGACTTTGTTTTTCATCTTTTTCAGTACTACTTGTTCTAGTGATATATGGCTCACCAACAGCTCTGGACAGAGATGCTCTGCTTACAGACTCTGGACACACACAGGATAGGCAGCAGCAGCACAAGTATTATCTCACCAACCAAATAAGCACTGAACTCAGACAGCAGCTGCAAAAGCTTTATCCATGAGGATGCTCCCTAACATCCTAACAAACAGATCCAAGCAAGAGGTTATGCTTTTGTCTTCAACAGGAAGAGTGGCTTTAAGGCATTCAGAGCAATTAATATATTAATAACCTAACATTAGCCACTCATCATACTCCCTGCTTAAATGCAAAAAAAACGGTTGCAGTCAAGCTCCGCTGCACTAACCGACTTCATGTCACACAGCACGTCAGTGACTAAAGACAGAACTCGGGAATCCCGACTTGCTTTCACACTCTGTAATTGGTTGACCAGATTTCCAACAATAAACCACATTGGTTTTGTGTTACTCGTCTATATTACTGCACTTCAAGAGTGTGCTGTGCATCTGAAGCCTAGGCCACTCACACAGAAACAATGATTTAATTGTTATATGCACCTCAAAGACCCAACCGAACAGCCTCGATCAAGTTTTTTTTCTATGATTTCAGTCTAATAGCAAAATCATTAAAGAAGGAGGAAAAAAAATAAATCTATTTGAAAGTTGGCCTAAAACCAAGGTGGGTCTGCAAGAGATACACAATAGCCAAAATAGGAGTTGTTCAGATTGGTAACAAAACAAAAAGGTTCAGATTAACATCCTAATTCCAGGAAGTTCTCGCCCAATTAGTAAAGCCAGGAACTAAGCCAGAGCTTTGAAAAACATCCAAAGTTCTGTGAGGAAGAACTTGAATCATGGAGTTCCTGAGTCACAAGCAACCTTTACCAGCTGGAAACTGGAAAATCAGAATGCTCTTTATCCAGCCTGTAGAAAGTGACTAAAAGGAGTTTGTTGGTTGCAATTCTCATTTAAATAATTAGAAAAAGCATACAGACTTATTTTCTATCCAAACTATGCAAGTAGGTGTAAGCAATCCATCCCCTGGATCCGCTCAGAGCAATGGAATGAGTAGTAGTTCAAGAGTAATGCTGATAAAGGGTGCTGAATACAGAGACCTGGCTATTGATTCAGAGAACGGGCACACTCTGGGCAGCGCTCGGGTCAATTTTCCTCCACATTACTCTCTGTCAAAAGCTACTCTGAACATCAGTTAATACACCATGCTAATTTTCTAAATATACTTAGAATGTAAGCATCCTTCTTCCCCTCAGAGTGCTGTAACATTGACATTGTTTGCACCAGGAAGATAAAATACTCTATCACTGAGGAGGATGCGAAATGTGAATTTGCATTTGGGTTGATCCACTTTGCATTTTGACCCAGGAATTTCGGTGGGGTGTTGGGATACTGCCACAGCCCATGCTGCTGCTGTTCCTGGGTTGCCTGGCACGGTCAGTCCTTCGGGGTGTGTCTCCAACACAATCTATTTACAGCTTGCAGAGAAATACCTAAACTATCTTAAATTAGCTTGCTTTTGGTACTTGTAGTGGGGCTGCCAGCGCTCACCCAGGGCTTCCGCTAGACTCATGCCGTACCAAAGTGTCTAGACTGCTTCCTAACCAGCAAAACTTCAGCGGCATCGAAGATGCGCTTGGCCCTTTGGATTGCAGCCTGGGGAGATCCCATCCCCTCAGCAGCACCCAGCCGCGCAACGAGCTTCACCCACACAAAGCCCAGAGCAGACCTGGCCCTGAGCGTTTCACCACCGACACAGAAACCGATTTACAACTCGATGTAACGAGCCAGAGACGAGGCGGTCACCCCTCCTGCGGACCACACGTGCTCACCAGGGCGTTTCAAACTGCATCTTTCACGGCAACTTTGTGCCGAAGGGACGAGGCCTGCGCCGGACAGACTCACGCTAGCCACCTTCACTCCTTACGAGAAAAAAGCCACGGGAAGGGTTGGGAAAAAAAGGCAACGGCGAGCCCGTCCGGAGCCAGTCCCCGTGCCCACCCCGAGCTGGGCAGGGTGGGGAGCAGCGAGCCCGCGAGGCTCCGGGCTGGGGAGAGCCCGGTCGGGCGGCAGCGAGCGCTCTTTGTGCCGGCCTCTCCATCCATCCCTTCTCTGGCAGCTGAGGGTTGAAAGGCCCCGAGCGAACA